GTCAGAACTGGTCCATCCTAAGTGACTACATTCCTCACCTGTGATCAGGATGTCTATAGTGTCACTTGGGGCTGACCACACAGAGGATAAGTTGTGTGCCCCAAAGCATTAATACTGACCACCAGTGGAGAAATTCACAGAGCCTAGATGAAGTTAGCATGGAAATATTCAGATGGACAGAGACCTGGGGGGACATCATTTTTACCCTCATTGGACAGAACAAATCTGTTATAACTCATCTCAGAGGAACACCGGAGGGTTAGGTATTCTTCAAGGTCTAGGACAGAGCCTTTGTAGGGTAATCAGGGAGGGCTTTCTTGAAAACCTGGACAGAGGAAAGACAGGAAGTCATTCAGCTGGCTCTTGCAATATATTTCATATGCAATCCTTTTCTGAAAGCTCCGTGGCCTTTCATTTCCTGGGCCTTAGCAGAAAAGAGCTTATTCCAGTTATCATGTCCACACACCCTCCTTGAGGGTTCTGCAAGGCATATGAGAAAGTGTTTCTGGTGTCAAACACCTCAGCTAAGACATGTATCTCAAAGGGTTACTTAACTCTAACAACATATGTAGGGTATTACTATACTATCCACAACCTCTGCAGGGACAACTCCTGCTGGATGCCTTACAGATGTCAGGAAACAGAGAATGGGACTGTACACTGTGCAAGATCTGTGCCTTTTGAGACCTGGAGAACTTTGGATGTGCATTCAAAATAAACACACTGTAGAGACATATTAGAGAATCAAATTCCCACATGATATAAACACAGGGCTGTGGTTGGCTGACAGAGTAGGTTTGCAAAGCTAGACACCTAGAAGAGAAGCAGGCAGCCTGTTAAATAAAATAAAGCTCAAAGTGTGTCCAGCAGATGGACTCTGTCAGTTTTGTTATGGAAGAATATTTCCTGAGGAAAGAGGCAAAGGTTGTGACACTTAGTGTCCTCTCACCTGTCGTCAGCAGCTCCAGTGTGTCACTGTGCTCTGGCCATCCAGCAGATTTGGAAGAGTAACAGTGATATTTCCCTGCATGATGTTTTTCTATGGATGCTATGCAGAACATTGCCCTGTTAGCAATATCTTTTGGGGTTTGACTGTCCACCCTAATTGCAGGTTTATAGATGACAACGGCAAGAATATTGACAGCTGATTCCCCAGAACTCCCCCTCAGACAGAATCTGTCAGACCAAGGAAGTTTCAAGCATCCACAGTATCAGCAAACATTTCGGTTCTCTATATGATCTGTTCAGGAGGGGCCTGTGGCCTCCAACATGGATGTCCAATCAGGGACAGCTGGGAAGATACTCACCCACTAGCATTGAGTGCCTGAGACCCAGATTCAGTCCTGCAAGAGTTAACTTAGAATGTTTGCACTAAAACATGAACAGGCTCTCACTTCAAAATGTCTTCTAAGCTGCTGAGACTTCCTGAGAACCCGAGGCATGGTTGTCAGGTGGATTCACTCTCAGACTAGAATTCTCCCTACCAGTCTTTGCATCTCACCAAGATACAGCACAGATACTAGAAAGGTTGTCATGTCATCTTCCAATGACCACAAGATTGCAGATAGTTGTTCTCCTCACCAAATGGACAAACACAAAGTGTATGGATTATGTAGGTTAGCTTGTCTTTCATGTCATGAGTATGAATTAATACCAGCCCCTCAGAAAGGGGAACTGCTCTTCCCAGGCACCTGACTCTTCTTTTCCCAGTGCTGTGATGGGTTGGGATACAGAATATGTGGCTTCTGTCTCTTGGTGGTTCCTTGGTTTCTATTTTTGTCTCTTAGTCTGAAACTCTTGAATCTCATGCAAATGTCAAACTCCTCCTGCTCCCTCAGCTTCCTGTGGCCTGAGATTACAAATATAAATCTGATATGGTCTCTTCTTTCAGAACATCTCATTGTAACCATCTACATATATCTGGATGTTCCCAATCTCCTAGAAACAGAACTTAACAGGAAATAAACCTAATGATTTCCTGAGCCAACATTATCTCTAAGGGATTCAGGTCTGGTCATTTTCTCTCAAGATTTCTTCTTGGATCACCTTCATTGCTTCAGCCAATCTAAACTCGTGGCCTGTTTCCTACCCTGCCCTGAACAAGTTTAGTGACATATGAACTTGTCCTGAGGATACAAGAACAATGTCTTCTCACCCCAGATGATACACAAGTGACAGAAACAAAAGACAAGACTACACACAAATCTAGCTGGTGAACAAATGAGATATATGTTAGGGTTCCTAAGAATGATATGTTTAATCTTTTTTGGTTTTGGTGTTTTGCTTTTCTTTGGGGTTTATAGTTGGTATGGTTTATGTCTGTTTCATATAGGGTCTCACTATATACCTCTGGGTGTCCTGGAACTCACTATGTACACCAGAAGATATCAACCATCGAGTCCCACCTCCCACCTCTTGAGAACAGTGTGGTCCTCTATGACAAGCAATATTGGAAATGTATCAGTGGTTATATCCCTGGAAAAAAGCTTGGCACTGTAACATTTACTTGTCTATAGTTCTGATGGGTGAGGAGTGGCAACCATAGGGCAACCTGGGTCCTCAAAGTCCAGCCTGCCTAAAGCATCCACAGAGACGCCATGTTGCTCAGGTGGGCTACTGACACTTGGCATTTTAGGTCCTCAGAGTCCAGCCTGCCTGAAGCATCCATAGGCTTTATGATGTCAAGCAGCTTTGGTAGGTGAAAGACACCCACAGGGCAGCCTGGGACCTCATGGTCCAGCAGCATGAAGCACCTAATGTTCTCCCAGGATCGTGTGGGTCAGGAGGTCCAAAGAACCCCACAGGGCACCCTGGGTTGTCATGGTGGCAATATGATGATGAGCAAATATATACCGGTAAAATGTGAGAGGAAGAGAGGAGGAGAGGTTCATGTTCTGTGGTGAGAGGCAGTTCTGAGGAAGTGGGAGCAGGGTGAATGGGCAGATGCTTCTACCAGGGCTGTGCTAATCTGGATACCCTGTCCTGCTACCCAGGCCCGGATGATATCTAAGCCTGAAACCGTGTCTGGATCTGTGGTCCTATCACAGTTGGGGTCTGTGTTGTCCATGACCCACAGTGCCAACAAAGGCCACACAAATTCCCAGGGACTAGATGACCTCTTGTGGCCATTTTGGTGTTCAAGGCCATGCTGCCACTGGGGCCATGGTGTCTGCTGCAACAGGGCTGCTGATGAGAACCATGTCTGGGTATATAGCCTTACCACAGCCAGGGTCTGTGTTGATGTCTATGGCTCCTGATACCATTCAAGGCAATACCGATGTTAGGGGTCTGGGCTGTCACATGGGGCCATATTGGTGTCTGAGGGGCACACTTCCACAGGGGCCTTGTTGATCTCAGTAGCGTGTGCTGCCACCTAGGGCCATGGTGACAATTGAGCCTGTGGTGCTGACAAGAACTATGTCTGGGTCTATCACAGTTGAGGTTTGTGTTGTCCATGGCACATGGTGCCACCAAAGGCCACACAGATGCCCATCCTATGGCCATTTTGGTATCAAAGGAAATTGCTGCTAATGAGGCCATGGTGTCACCTGGGCCAGGGCTGTTGCTGAGGACCATGTCTGGGTTTTGGTCCTACTGCAGCCAAAGTCTGTGCTGATATCTGTGGCTCCTTACACCATCAAAAGCAGTGCTGATGCCAGGGGTCAGGGCCACCAGCAGTGGCCATGAGTGATTCCTAGGGCCTTGCTACCATTGGGACCATGCCAATGCAAGTGGAGGGCAGAGCCACATGGGAGCAGGCCTTGGCTGCTGCTGTGGATCAGGAATGGGTCTGGGGCCCAACAGCAGCCAGGATCTGTGGTGCTGCTCACAGCTTGTGTTGCCCCAGTGGGTCATGGGAACCAAGTGTTTTGAAATCCAATGCCATGCTGAGCCAGCTCTGTCCCTCCCTGAAACTAGCATAGCTGGCCCGTTCTATTAATTGACACTGGAGATCTGGCACTGTCTCCCCATGGGAGAGCTGACTCTAGCATTCAGGAGAAATTGCCCCAACACTCGCCACAGGCATGGCAGACCTGGCCCTAGTGGTCTTCACCTAGGAGTTCTGGCTCTGGCCCTTGCCTGAGTGTGTGACCCCAATGTCCCAAACCAACCAGATCATCTACTACTCAGACCCACATTCAGGGCCCACCCTAACAGCTGTCCCATCAATGACTTTCTGAAGTGCATGAAGGGCCGGGACCTGCCAAGGGATCACCACAGGATCTTCATAAATCAGTGCATAAACAGGCTATCCAAGAGAAATTTCTGTGAGGGCCCATTGATGAAGGTGAACCAGAAACCAGAGTCTGAAACCAGACTCATTGCAATGAACATATTTAAATGGTGCTGATTGGACAAAAGGGGTGTACTGCATGACACACCACAGCTCCTATTGCCACTGGCATGAATGAAGAGGTGTTGGAAAGACGGTGGGGTGAGGTGGGTGTTATGTTTGTTTTCTTTGTTATAATAATAATTTGGGGGAGCATACTGAAGGAGTCAAGGGTGGAAATGGAGGGATTGGACATAAGCAGAATTGTGGTGCATGATGAGAATCTTCCAAAGAATCAAAAAAGAATTGTGTTTTAAAATAAGTAAGTAAATTAGCAGAAACCTCACCAAGTGTGGGTGATGAATACTGACTGCTTTGAGAATGCAATGTTTTGGGGGCATCCTTATATTTGGTCATTCTTTTCATTCTGTAATTGGACATGTACTCACTATTTTCTGTTGTTATTGTTTCTGCTGTTGAGTCACATTCCTTCTTCATAGTAACAATAACATCTTCCCACACAAAAAAGTGAACATAAAGCACAATGGAGAATGTAGTGGTTAATAATAAAGGAAAATATCACATGGGGCTAAGGAAAATTAGAATATAGAGAAAGATGAGGACCCAGACCTCACTGGTGGGAAAATATGTTCCCCCACATTATGGAATGAAAAAATGGAGGGAAAAATCTTCAAATCCACAGCAAGGTAGAATGGAAGACCTTTAATGTGGTGGGAGAAGAGCCAGCTGCCCCAATATTCAGGTCTTTTTCTGCACCCCAAATAAATGTATTTCCTGGATTATTTCTCCCAAGTGATGCCCAATATTAAACATGGAATCTTTTGGTAAATAATACAAGAGGTCCTCAAATTTATTTCCCAAACTTGGTCATTAGGCAAAGACAATGGCTGTCTCTCTTCTTTACTTCTAGGATGCATTCAAGGACCTCCTCTGGCTGTGGCAAGCCTCAAAGAGCAAAATCCCAAGAACTAGGAAGATCAAGCCAGCTATGCCCATCCGTATGAGGTTCTCCACTGTGTGATCCTGGGGCTGTGAGGCTGGAGATTATGAACAGAGAGGTCAGGACCAACCAAAGCCACCATAAGATGACTGAATTTTTACTCTGACAAGTTCCTCCCCTGTCTAGTTCCATGTCCTAAGCAGAATTCTGGTTCCATGCCCTAAGCAGAATGTTCCTTCCTCATTGATCATGGCTTCTGACATATTTTGTGGTTGGCTGATTGTCTCAGGCACCCCTGAGAAACAGATTTTCTGGGTGTGTGCAGTGCTCAAGAGAAGTGATTCTTTTTGTCAAGGTTCATCTTCTTATTTTCTACAGTTTCACATTATTCTCATGATATAACATTATGAAAATATTGAAAGAACTCTTTCTCTGCATTAGCAGCTTCCTCCTGTGCTTTGGCCTGATTTCTTCAGCCTGAATATTCTCGGAGTTCAGAACAGCTGGTCAAGGCTCTTCTTTGAAACAAGAGTTTATCTGATTACAGAGAGCTCAAATGGAAAAGTGTCATTTCCGCCTTCACAGGATAGGGGCCTTCCTGTGCTCCCAACCCAGTCTGCAGTATAGAAGTCTGGAGGATATTAGCCCCACAGAACAGTAACCTGCACAGATTCAACAGCTGAGAACCCAAGATCTAGCCACATGGTCTTATTCACAGGGTCCCCTGAATATCAGGTGGTCAAAATAGTGACAGTCTGGTCTTCTCTTTCTGCACCACCCCAAAAGGTTGCCATGATACTTCTGTTTAACATCTCACTCTCTAATCATTACATTGTTGTTAATACATACATGCAATAAAAAAGACATAAACATATGCTAACAATGTGCATGAAAGCAGATATATTCTAACAAGTACTGAACCTAAATCATCAAAGAATAGGCCAGTATTAAGAAAGTAAATTTTATTTTTTAAATTAAATAACTCTTGCATCCATATCTAGAGAGGCTATATGGACTCTAAAAGAGAAATCAGTACTGCCAAGTTCCTAGACCAATATAATTTGTAACTTCATTCTAAATGCTTATCCTTATACCCACAGGTAAGTGTAGCTCTCAAACCTCATCTGAAAAGCTTATTTCACAAGAGATGGGGGAAAACATAGAGATCCACAACTATCCAGAGAGTTACAGGCCTCTGACCACACATGAGGGTTATTTATATAGTATCTATAACAACTGGAGGGCTCATTCTTGCTGGATGCCACAAAGATCTCCAAAACTGGTCAAAATGGGAATAAGTGGAGTAGGTGTTCCCAGTCCAAACACACACTTTTATTTTTTCGCAAGACAAGGTTTCTCTGGGCAGCGCTTGCTCTCCAGGAATTCACTTTGTAGACCAGGCTGGCCTTGAACTCAGAGATCCACCTTTCTCTGCCTCCCAAGTGCTGTGATATAAGGCTTGTGCTACCACTGCCTGGCCAAAATGGATAATTTTAAAACACAAATATTATACCTATATTATACCTAAGATTTAAGAAACATTAAGGAAGTCATCCAGGTGGCTCTTGTAATACATTCCATATCCCCTCTTGCTCTGAAAGTGCCAAGGCCTCTCATAGTCTGGGCCTTAGTAGTCAAGAGTTCCTTTCAGCAGTTATGGCTTTGAACTCTGCTTGAGGTAGAATGGCTTATGACAAAGGATTTCTCATGTCAGTTGAGTGAATGAGGACACTTCCTCACCTGAGAAATGTACCTCCAAAGAGTCACTGGCCTCTGACCACACATGTGAAGTATTGGTGTAGTATCCATAACATCTGAAAGGACCACTATTGCTGGCTGCCATGGAGATCACAGGAAACAGAGCCTGGGACTGTCCAGTGTGTAATAACTGTGCCATTTGGGACCTGGAGAACTTCAGATCTTCCCCAGTCAAAATGAACCCATTGTATCCTTTGGATGAGACACACTGAAGGGTCACATTTCCACCTGAGGTCACCACAGGGCTGGGAAAAGCTGACAGAGTGGGTTTACCATGGTGGACACCTAGAAAAAGAGGACAGAACTTGTTAAATGATACATTGTCTGCAGCAGCTGGGCTATGGCTGAAAATGTTTAGAGATGTATTTCCTGAGGGCAGTGTTGAGGGTATAATGTACTCATCCTCACAAATAATATTGGAGAAATCACAAATGTTATTCATGTAGTGTGTCTGCTCAATGGTGGAGATAAATACCTGTCTTCTATCAAGAAAGCTAGGAGTGGATGTTGTTAATACCCAGGTGACTTTTCCATCTGTAGATCCAAACCTCACCTGAATCCCTGAGGATGTTTATCACAGACTCTCCTCCCTAGACCTTTATCATTGGCATTCATTAATAAAGCCCATCTTTTGGGGAGATGTCACATACACTTTTTAGCCTGCTGACATTGGCATTACCTCAGTCAGAGACCACACCAGATCAAAGGCCCTTAAGATATAAAATCAATCTTCACGTTCCAATGTACTCTGATTTGAGTTTGATGTAATTATGCCTAGTTGTTCATTAGGGTTTTGATTACACCAGTAATTTTTTTTGGAGAATTGTTCTGTGTTTAAATTTGCTTGCAATAAGTGACCTGGTTTCAGACTTTTAAAAGTGTGAACTGGCAACTACTATGTCAGCCTGATCTGAGGTTTCCTTGTTACTTCATGTGTGTCATTTCCCTGCATGCAGCAAAGCTTTCAGCAGCCCGCACAGGAAAAGGTGAGGACTGTGACCCATAGTGTCCACTCACCTGTCACCACCAGCTCCAGGGGATCACTGTGCTCTGTCCAGCCTGTAGATTTGTAAGAGTAACAGCGATATTGCCCTGCATGATGCTTTTCTTGGATGCTATGGAGAACATGGCCTTGTTACCAGGATCTTTGGTAGTTTGACTGTCCCAGGGTGCTGAGCTTCCTTCTTTATACAGGAAATATATTCTGGATTCCTTGGTCCCCTCACACCAAATGGTCACATCATTCCCAGGGGCAATCACAGAGCTTGGTGCAGCCCACAAGGTTGGTTTTTGAAGGTTCCGTGCAAGGAAGTAGGTGAGAAGTAGATTGGACTTTGAACAGTTTCACAGTAAATGTCAAGCATACTTCTGATCTTGAACTTTACTCCTGAATAGCAAAAGGATAAGTAAGGCTATGGGAAGACTCAGTCTCGTGACCCTCCCAAGATCCAATCTCACTATGCCTTTCCCTCCTTTTTATGCCATGACTCCCATAGTCTGCATGCAGTGTCAATTGTCTCAGGAGCCCTGGATCCACAGACACATCACACAACATGGTTTCCATCAGGACCATGTGTCAGGAGCAATGTTTCTGCAGAGAGTCTGGAGGCTTCCTCACCTGAGACCAGGAGCTCCAGGGGTTCACTGGCTTTAGACCACACCTGAGCATTTTTTGTGTTATAGACATGGCATCTAAATCTCCACCTTTGGTTGGAAGTCACTGGACCCACTTGCAATGTGGACTGGAAAGTCCTAATATATAAATATTGTGAGCTGCTGAATTCCTGGTCATCCTTAGTTAAAATGAAACAGTTGTATCTCTGAGTTAAGGTACAAGGGAGTGTCACAGACCCTCCTAAAGAATCAACAGGCTTATGCAGGGTTGACAAAGTTGGTTTGGAATAGATTCCTAGAAGAATTGCACATGGAATATTAAAGGGGCTCACACCGTGTGAATTCTCCCCATGTCTGTCATTTGATGACAGATAGCATTATTACTGTCTTTTCTTGAGAATAACATCTGGGGCTAATATTTTTGAGTGTCCTCTCATCTGTCACCACCAGTTCTAAGGGGTCACTGTGCTCTGACCATCCCGCAGAGGTATAAGAGTAACAGTGATAGTGTACTGCATTCAGTTCAGTCATAGATGGAATGGTGAGTTTTGCCTTATTCTTGTGGACTGTTTGGATTTGTTGGTCCCAGGCTTCCCTCTTTATATATAACATACATTAGGGTTTCTAGAGTCACCTCACATCATAGGGTAACAGGACTCCCTAAGGTGATCACAGAGCTAGGATAAGCATGGATGGTGGGTTTGTGAAGGGTCCCTGCAAAGAATGAGAGGGAAAAGGGAGATGTATCTGTTAGGAGAATTGCACAGAGAAGGTCACATTTGCCAGTGACATGTAAGCTGATCTGCAATTGCAGAAGAATGCTTAAAGACCTCACTTTTCCTTGGATCGTGGGTCCCATTATTAAATAAACCCTAGATTTTGCATCTCAATTCAAGCTGTACCACAGATCTGTGACACTGATTTCAGTAACCCAGGCTCTCGATCAACCACCATACATTAGTCCTTTCCTGGGATCCTGTGTCAGTTACAATATGATGTAAAGTAAAGATCTGCACTTCCTTACCTGAGACCAGGAGTTCTAGGTGGTTACTGGGAAATGACCACAGCTGGGAGCTGCTCAAGTAATACCCATAGCATGTGAACCTCCACCTCTGGTTGGGGGTCAAAGGACCCAGAGTGAACAGGGCTCCAAATAGCTCGGGGTGTATATTCTGTGAGGGCAAAGGCCTGGAGAACTTCTCGTCTTCCTTCATTAGAATAAACATGTTATATGCCTGTTCTGACACACACTGAAGGGTCACATGCCCTCCTGAAGTCACCACAGGACTGGACAGGGATGAAAGGGTGACTCTGTTGGAGAAAACTCCTAGGAGAAAAGAAGAAGCCTGTTAAGTAAACCCATATGGGAAGTGTTGTTCCACTCTTCTCAGATTTGAGAAAAGGAGCCCCCCTGTGAACATATTCCTTTGCTTAAGGCAGAATCTTGGGTTGGTAAAAGTCCTCTCACCTGTCACCACCAGCTCCAGGAAGTCACTCATTTCTGAAATGTCATTGGTGCTAGTATAGATGCACCAATAGTGGCCTGCATGGTACCATTCAACCGATGAGATGGAGAATGTGGCTTTGTTTTCAGTTTCTAGAAGGGTTGGTGGTATGGGGTACTCTGGACTTCCTTCTTTGTAGAGAACACATTCCTTGGCCTCTAAGGGACCTTCACAGAAGAATGTCACCTGGTTGCCAATGGCTACCACATTTCTTGACACTGCCCAGAGTGTAAGTTTAGAGAGGGCCCCTGAAAAAAAATTTACAGCTGCTTTCTCACAACTCTCCATCAGATATCAGCTTCTCAAACTTAGAAAATTTCATGTGTCCCCAGGATTACCCCCACACCTACTGCCCTTCATCTTCCCTGTTCAGGAATTACCTATGGTCCCCACCAAGGATGTCCAAACTGGGACAGCTGAGAAGACACTCACCTGCCAATACTGTGTTCCTGAGGTCCAGACTCAGTCCTGCAAAAGAGTTAGTTACCTGTGAGAGTTTGCACTGAAACATGAGCATGACCTCCACTTCCAGATGCCTTCTAGAGCTGCTGAGACATCCTGATGGACCAATTCGGGTTGTGAGGTGGATTCCCTATCAGATGAGAATTCTCCCTCCCCATTTGACATCTCACCAAGATAGAGTAGACCTGTAAAAAGGGGG